GGTGTAACCGAATATTTCATACTCATGCAACTTGCAAGAATCAAATCCGGAAAAATTCTTTCAATTAATTAATTTTATAAATATATAACTCATACACTGACCATATGCGGCTTAGGGTTTGTAAGAATAACGAAAATCATTATGTGTGGTATATGAGGATTTGGGTAATTCGTAAACCAATATCATATATTTTCAGCCTTAAACCATATTATGTCCAATATTATCCGTGCCGTTAATTTTGTTAAGATATCTTACATATTGACCGACATATACGTTATAAAGTCAATCAGAAATTTGAAAATCTTATATTTGGTATTTGACAGAGAGGGATAGTATTGAGCCGCTTTGATAAATTTTTGCCATTACCACAGAAAAAGATAACCCCTGAGTTTCATTAAGGTACTTCACACACCATCACAAATATATGCGGGATATAGTCAACCGAATATTTTAAAATCCTTATATTAGTTATAAGGCGGCTAGGGCAAGTTTTAAATTGATTATATGCATTTTAAGCACAAAGATACATTGTTATAAGAAAACCTCTCTTTCCTTATTTCATTAAGATGAATCGCATATTGAAATCAGAAAAATTTTTATTAGGTATATGGGGACTATTGGAGTTATTGATCTGATTCAACCCATTTTTGGCACATGTATTAAGTTGCTAAAACTAAAAATTTTGCCCCAGTATCTATCATCGTTTCACACGTATCGATTTTAACTTGTATCTATAAAATGCCCAACCAATTATAATGCCTATATGTAGCTTTCAATAAACTTTGTCAACTTTGCTTAATTTATTTAAATTTCGAAAATATACAATATGCGCTATACCATATACATATTTACAATATGTTCCCATTTGCTTTAGATGGTGTAAAGGTAATATTAACTTTAGTCTTCACGTTGAGTGCAAAGTACATCCATATATCTTTTCTTTTAAATGTTTGGTGCTATGTAAAATATTAAATTTACAACTTAACCCTCTAAAACAAGAGTTTCGACTGATTACGTATTATACAATTACATACTTGTATATTGGCTACTTTATGTCACTCACATATACTCCATGTACATTCCGTTACTTTAAACATACTCAGCAGCTATGATTCAAAAGAATAAGAGTATGCAACGAGGCACCTAGTACTATCCGAGCTCACAACCACTTCTCCGAAGACACAAGCCAGCACAGACATCAACCACATTTACGCCTACCGTAGAAATTACGGCACTGGCGAGCAAGGGCGCTTTTTTGAAGAGGCGATAGATGGCAGCCCCATCACTTGGATTCGTTAGGTGTAGACCAATCAACCACCCTGTGAGTGAAAAGAAAAGGAGGTTAAAATTATTTTTATTTTACATGTTTCTTGGCTTATTTCAAAAGAGTGCGTTGTAGTTAAGTGTGCGTAAAAGTTGTGAGTTGTAGTTTTCTTAATAACACTGCGATGAAATCATTTCTACTGAATCAGACCTGCTCGTGTCAGTACTCAATTAGTTAAGATTGATTAATACCATATTTTTAATTCATATGGTTTTCCTTAATTTCTGAAATGTACGCAAATATAGCGGTATATTGTGAGAAAATCATAAAGAAGGTACTATAAGCGCTACTCAAACACACCAGCTTCTCTAATACAAACTACCAATGAACTATGACACAAAAACCTAAAAATTTAAAATCAGGCCAAGATGTAGACCGATTGACATCAAAATCAGAGTGAAACCACATTCTAACATCCACTTTATTTCACTAAAATACCTCAAAAAACTATAGCTCTGTTTTGGTGTTTTTCTCGAAACTTGAATTGAAAAATTATTTGATAACGTTAGTATATGTTTTATTTTATTTTGCAAAAGATTTAATTATGAATTAATCCACTAAGAGGAAGCGCTGCCTACTACTGCCTTCGGCTTTTTAATTTAAGATAATTTATTAATATAAATTCTACTGATATATTATTTTAACTCACTATACTTCTGTTGGAGATCTTACATAATTTAAGAAATTTGCTGATGACTGTGATATTGTCTTCAGTAGGCTGGATGGTTGCATGCTTCCAAATATGCTCTGATTAAAATAAAATTATTACAATGTGCGCAACTTGGTTTCCCAGTTCTATTCAGCATGTAACAATAAGAAGGTGCGGCCTACTTTGAGACGCACAAAATTTCTTAGATCTTTATATGAACAGTCATTTAGGTAATTTGGTTTGACACCTTTGGTTTTGCTTTTTGTAGTGGTGATGAAAGTTGGTCCAGTCGCTGGCTGTCGACGTATTGAGAGCATTTTATAACACTTAATTAGCTTCACCTGAATGTTGGTAATTTTGTTCTGTGCAAGCGATAACTTAGGCATAAATTGAGATATATTGATTAAACTTGCTACATATAGAATGATGGGCGTGGCATCACCAACCTTTAGGGGAAATCCTATATCTCAGAAACTATCCTACCAATTTTGGTATGTGAGGTTACCCAGCCAATCTATCACACACTGTAAAAATTGGTAAAATGAACTTTTCATTCTCCACAAAAAGGCCCTTAAAACTATGCAGTTAAAAGCAATAACTTCCATGATGTCATTTATATAACAAATTTACTCAAACACGGGTGATTCAAGTAGAGGTACTCTTTTCAATATTTTTTTGCCAGATCACGTGTGAGTCGTGTCAAGCTGTCATGTTACTTTTGTTCAGTATTGTTTAGCACTTCTTCATGGAAAGATATACGCCTGAACAATGTTTATAAATTGTTCAACTTCATTACGAAACCTCACGTTCTATAAAGAATGTGCGCTGAACTTATGGTCAACCTAATCCGCCTACTGAGCGTACTATTCGCAACACTATCTTCCATCTTGAGACCCATCATTCATTATTGGATAATATTCGACCGAATAGACCATGTCCAACACGAAATGAAGAAAATATAGCCGCCGTAACTGAGGGTGGACTGAGGTATGGTACGACTTTGCGCATTTTACGTCGAGATCTTAAATTGAAAGGTGTACGTGAAATACAGCTTGTGCAAGAACTGAAGATGCTCGACTTTTCCAAGCGATACCGCTTCGCTCTATAGGCTCTTGAAAAGTTCCAAGAAGATCTGACGTTTTCGAGCCAAATTTTGTTCAGCGATGAGGCCCATTTCTGGCTCAATGCGTATGTAAATAAGAAAATTTTCGCATTTGGGGCAAAGAGAAACCTCTGAAAGAGCTGCCTTTCCTCCAGAAAAAACAACGGTATGGTGTGGTCTTTAAAAATGATGCCTAAACAAAATTGCACCACTTCTCACACATCGCATCAATCAATAGATTTATTAAGAGAACACTTTGGTGAGCAGATAATTTCACGTTTTGGGCCGATCGATTAGCCACCAAGATCGTGTGATATCACACCCTTAGACTTTTTTTGTGGGGATATGGAAAGTCTAATCGATCACCCTTTAAAGGCAAATAGCATATCAAAAACGTCCATGCTCATGCGCACGGGTTTTTTGAATTGCTCTGAATCCTTATAAAGTTTGGAAAAATTAGCTGCATAGAAGCCGCTGTTGTCTCTATCTTGATAAAGTGGTCTAACCCACATCCGTCGACTTGATCTTATATTTTTGAGCCACTCGTACAGCTCAAGCAGTTTTTTCCAAAACTTTTGCCATGCAGAATATTAAGAAACTTGGTCTAAAAGTCTGTAATTGAGGTATTTGGATTTGTTGCCTTAGGGATATTGATAACTATCTTTTGTTCAGTCTTGGAAAAGTATGCCATGGTCTACAAGTTTATCAGCATAATTTTTAAAGAATGTTGGAGATATGTTAGGAGTGGTTAGGAAAGTTTGTCTGCACCAGGGGACTTGCCGGACAGTTTGCTGACTGTGGAATAAAATTCTTCTATTGTAATAGGATATTCTATCAATTTAGCTTCAAAACACGTGAATGGGTTGTGGTTTTGTGGGAAATAATTTGCCTTGATATATTCAAGTGGAAGTTGGAATTATGGCAATCATTTAACCACGTTATCGCAAAATTTTATGCTATAAGTTGTAAATTATAGATAGGACCTTGGAGAGATTGGATAAAGCCGATTTATGCATTTGTGACGACCTTGTCCCGGCCCCTAATAGATTTAATGTGCATATCTCCTAAACCGCTAAAGCTATCATAACAAAATTCACTGAGAAGAAATGTCTTTAGCACCATAGAGATTAAATTTTATCTCTGGGATGGTAAGAGATGACTTTATGGGAACCGCGTGGCACCGCCCACTTTTAAGTGAAAACTCATATCTTGTACATAACATTCTCTCTTTTCATATTTCCATGTTATAAGGCGAAAATGGGCGAAATCGGATTAAAACCACACCTATTTCCCCATAAAACACCATTTTAAATTCTATCTGATTATTTCACTTTCCGGTATGCAAATCAAGCAACAATGATTATATCGGCATAAAACTTTGCGTGAATAATACGTTAAAAGTATGCCACCTTGTGACCAAAAATTATCTAAATTGAACCAAAACTGTTCAAGCCCCTAGGTACTGAATATGTTTACCCCAGTGCCTTTAGTTGACTTTTTACCGAAAATATCGGTCATTGTGTAAGATATATAATTGAAATTCATATACATACTTCTATGTAGCTGACAGGGTTTGAAGCAAGGATGACATGATTGGAAACTCGAGAGAGCGCTGTGAAAGTCCACATTTTTTATAACATTTGTCAATGTTGCCATCCATGTTTATCAATGGTTTGAAGTGTATTTGTAACATTAGCTTTTACAACAATCTTCTTTGCAGCATTTTCTTAGTCAACATTCAGATAAGCAACATTTGAATAAGGAACACTTGTGTCAGCAAGATTTGCCTCAGCTCTTTGCAACATTTGCTGCTTTAGTCTATACACGCGCAACCTTTTGTGCTGATCGTTCACTCAACTCTTTCATATTGCGTGCTCTAAGGTTTAGAGTATAAATGTGATATGCAGGTAAACGGTAGCGGACATTTTCGGTTATGGATTGACGGTTAGCGATGCGCTCGTCGACATTCAGTTATTTTGCAACGGGTATTAATTTGGTGAAGACGTTCGTTCTGATAGAACTTGTTTGTGGAATGTGTTTGTTTTTTTTAAATTTGCGATTTGCTTAGTGAGTTTAAGGAAATAATAAAAATGTTGGAAAATACTTTGAGTTGCCGGTACTGAAATTTAAAAAATAAAAGATCTAAATAAATTGTGATACCAAAATCATACTACAACTGTTAATTATACCATAAATGACTCCAACATTGGTTAAACAACATATATGAACTTTGTCTTCAGAATCAGTAAATTGTTAATGTCTTGATATAATTTCAACAAAATATAGGAGCATTTTTTTCTGTTGATTTTCTACTTGTATACATTGGCAAGTTCACTCTAAAGCTAACTTGAGGAATTCAAACAGGACCGCAAAACTACATATTTTGTTTGCAATATGTACATAGTAATATTTTAAGCATTCTGTGTTAAAATAAAATATTGGACAGCACAACTACAGCAGTATTATAAAAAATTTATTTTATGTTTTGTTTATTCCATTCATTTATTTTCAGTTTTTCATATACGTCATTATTGAATTTTGTAAATAATTAGTCTGCCATGCTATACGAATTATGCTGCTTCTAATCCGAAAATAAATAAAACCAGAAAAAATTTTAACTTAGGCTGTACCGAAGCTATAATACCGTTCGCAGCTGTAAGCTATAGTGCTTCGATCTGAACAATACGTTCAAAGATATCTTGAAGCTACCTTGACAAATAAAAGCCCAGACAATCCCCTTATATTTTGATCGTTCAGTTGTATGGCAGCTATATCTAAATCTAAACAATTTCTTCGGAGATTTTAACGTTGTCATGGGTAATAATATATGACAAATTTTGTGAAGTTACCACGTCAAATAAGAAAGTTGTTAATACAACTACTACCACTATCCGTGTTTCACAAAGATATTTGCAAAACTTAAATTTAGTGGATTTGGTTTGAAAATATATTATGCCCAGATTCCCGAGTCCATTTAGTTTATTTCAATCTATAATTTTGTATAAATACCAGTTTACAAATACATTTGAGTCATTTGATTAACTGCAAAGATTTTGTCAAATAATTTTAAAATAAAAAATTTCTTAGTACAATTAATTGTATAATTAAACGTAGTTTTGTTTTTTTATGGTCGCAATAAAAAGGGGGGGTTGAAATGGGCCAACCCCAATTACAGAGCAATTTTCCATTGAATTATCTTGACAAAAGCCAGCATAGAAAGAGCAAATGGTAGCAAATCAACTCAAAATTTGACGCCGATGAGTGTAAAACAAGTGGCTTCCAAGTATAAAAACAAAACTTAAATGAAGATGTCAAAAAGGTCAAAAACGGCAACATCTGTGCTGTGTTGCATAACCAGTAAGCGGAATAACAAACCCATTTACTTCATAGCATGTGGTACGTTGCAAAATGGCACATGGTACTTGGAACCGCAATGTAAACTTTTTAATTTGAAAATAATAAATTAATAATAATAATAATAAATTAAAAAATACAAAACCTTTAGACGGAGGACTTTCCCGTTACAATTAAGAGCTCATACTTGGAGAACCTTTCTAAAAGGTGCCTATAAACCAACTTTTAGAGTACACGAAGCGAAAAAGGAACATTAAATTGTTTTTGATCCCCCCTAATATTTACCCATGACAAATTTCTATGATTATGCTTCTCTTAGGCAATCATAATGTTATTTAATATTGAAATCAACAAAAGTTTTGGATCAGTCAAATGGCCGCCAAGATCATGCGACTTAACGCCTCTGGAATATTTTCCCTTTGCGTATGTTAAATTAAAGGTTTAGTTAAATAAACCAAAAACCTTAAGGAGCTCGAAAACAACATTCAGCGCACTATAGCTGTAATTCCAGCCGAAATGCTGCACCAGGTCATCGAAAATTAGCGTACACGGGTGAAAATATGCAAATGGTTCAATTCATAAATGGCATAAAATTATAAGCATAACACGAAAAACAGAACCCATTTTGATCAAATTTGAGTGTTTCATTTCATTCTAACATCATGTCGTTCTTGTTGGTAGACTCTTTGATGATGCTTAAATCAAATATCCATCCCTCCTTTACTATACTGATATAACTAAATTCGGGGCTTCGTTTACCAATTTCGAGATCTTTTACCGACAATTAAAAGTATTGAATCAATATAGATTTTTAAGACTGTTTATTTATCAACAAAAGGCTGGACTCACATTCGACCTTAATTGGATCATTATCTAAGGCAATAATGGAACTTTCGAAGAAATTGTTCAGATCGGATCACTGAACTGAACGATCGGAATCAAGTTCTTCTAATGAATCTTTTGTATTTGTGAAGGGTATTATAGCTTCGGTGCCACCGAATTAACGTTTTTTCTTGTTCATTATTAGGGTCTGCAACTTTCCTTTTTACTCGTAGAATATTTGAATGAATGCATGCTTCAAATTTGACATTGAACTGAGTACCTTATCCTAATTCTCAGTGATTCCACAATCTAAGCCAGTTATCGCAAAATTAACCTAGTAAAAACAAGGAGTCGATAGGTATATTTGGGGTAACAATAAAACTTAAACTAAATACCTTTCCTTGGTATGAGTGCATTTAGCAATGAAGAGTACAAATAAACCTGTTTCAAAATAATTGTATGTAAAAGTATTTTTTTAGGTACAAATTCTCGAAAAATAATTCATAATGGAATTTTTTTAGTCTTTGGTACATATGACAAAAAACAAGTGCATTTAATAAAACTAATTATTGACTTTTTTCTTCAGCTGCAGTCTCACTTCCACCGTGTTCTTCTCGCCACTTGCCATTTATCACTGGCGGAAAATCGCGGCTTTTTGCTCTAGAGGAAGTGGCAGATTCCATCGTCTTACTCAGTGGTGCGAGAAAACCATTGATTTCTCTTGGATTTTTGTACTCGTACACTACTTATCGTCCAGCCACCTTGATAAATCATATCTCAGATTTAAAACAGTCAGTCTGTAAAGACAACTTCAGTGTAATAACAGGCAGATCAATCCGTGAACTGTGGCCATTGCTGGCCCAGCATTTTGCATAAATTAGAACTAACTTTTGGATTGTTCTTAAGGTTGTTTTTTCAATTATATCTGAAGAAAATGCTTTCTTTCTGCACACGTAGTATTAGGTAAAAAAGCAGCGAACAAGTGCAACGTATCGGACGTAACGATTTTCTAAAACAAAGAGAAAAAAATTATTAAAATGTATAATAATGTCAGAAATTATTAAAATAATTTTTTTAAAAGATTATTATTTAAAAACCAAAAAAAAATTAACAAGTGAGGTGTTGACAAAACTTTAAGTTCTAAAGTTTTCGATCGATTACAACCATATTTGGTACCTTAGTAATTTATACTAAAGGCCATGTGCACACAGTTTCGTTCCTACAACTTGCTTCATATCAGAGATATTAAGAAGTCTTCGCTGATTCCGTTTACTCTTGACATTCATTTAGATAATGCTTTAACCCTGTTTCCAATCAATTTTATTAAGATTACTATAATGACTTTATTTTAAAACTTTTGCAATATGTTGTTAAAATATGTAATAAACATTTTTTCAAAGACATTTTATATAATGACCGATATATAAGATATAAAGCCAACCATTTATTTTTTTAACATCTAAAAGAGTTTAAATGAGAGAATGAGATATATATATTATATATACATATATGTACATACGTATATAAATCAAATGCAAATGCTATTACGGTTAAGTTCGTAAACTTTTCAACTTGATGCTTTATGTGTTGTACACTGGTTTGCCAAAAGTTGTATCAATTTGTATCGCAAATAAATCTTAAAATTGTCCTATTTAATCGAGAGGAAGCAAATTGCTAATGGTGATGTTGCTGACATTAAAACTCAGGATTTGTGTGTTCAAAAAAAAAAAAGTGAAAATTTTAGGGCTATTTTTTTGCAAATCCATATTATTCATTATATTATTAAACTGGCTTCTAATAGGCCGCCTGAATTCTGTCTCCACGTCCAGAAAGAAATAGGGCAGAGACAATGAAATCATCAGACTTCTATTATGACGTGAAGTCGTTGGCTTAGATAGAGCGAAACCGCCACTTTGACCACTATGATGTTTTTGTTAAATAATCCACAGTTAGAAAATTTTATATATTTGATTATTTGGGCAATTGCACACCATATGTGTATGCAAATATTTTGACGTTGCAGAGGAGGTGACGGCCTCTTATAGCGAATTAATTGTCCATTGTTGATGTACTTTTTTAACGACTCAACAACTGTGTTGTCTGTGGTGTTATTTTATTAGTTAGTGATAAAAAAGTTACAAAGCAGGAAATATTGTTGCACGAACATACTTGCTAACTTTTGTAAAATACGTATTTTTTGTTTACAAGTATAGTAATTTGCTTCTGTATTTTAAGTATGTTTATTTGTTAATTGTTTATTAATTTTTTTTTGCGGATTTTCTGCTGTACCTTGATTGTTGTTTAGTTGCTTGCAACCTAATATTTTATTTTCGTCAATGAGCTACTAAGTTTTATTACTCATACATATATACACAAATTAAAACAAAAGGCTTGGAACAAATGTGTATACGTATATATACCTGGAGGCCTGGGTGCCACGCAAGTTCACTAACATCTGTAAGGTAGCATATTTAGCGATAGTTTTAGTTAATTTTTGGTTTTATTACGCTTTTTATTGCGCTCGATTTAGTATACTTTATTTTTATGTAGAATTAGGTGTCTTCAACTGATTTCACTTTATTTTGTTTACTTTTTTTTACGTTTCAATATGCAAGTGGTGTTTGTTTTGCTGTTTCTTCAGTGGTTGCGAGATTGTTATGCCATATTTTTACACATTTGTTTTTTAGTTTTGTTTTCATGCCGCATGTATCTCTAATAGTTGAGTTTATCTGCTAAAACTACTTGTATATGTATGTGTATGTGCGTGCCAAACTAAGCGAATCTAGCTGCCTGGGACTAGCGACTTCTGCAGGTTTATTAGCGTTTGATTACTCTTCTTATGCAATATGTCCTCCCCTGCTTTATGTATATGCTCGTATCATAAAAGCCGTTGATAACGATTATGGTAATAAAATCTATCAATATTGTTCTGTCCATCCTCCATACAATACTATCGGATTTTTTTTATATTATATATATAGTTTTTGTCTTAACACAAACCTCGATCGACACGAAAATTCCGAAAAGTATCGTGATTTAAAGTGTCTCCAATTTCATGGTTAAGCAACTTTGCGGTCAGCTTTTTAGAAAATTATCCTACTTTTTGTCAAAAAAAACTATAGTGTTGCTGCTATTTTGATACAATATAATATTGTTCACAATATAAATAAAACGTGATTTATCGTTATTTTAAGCCAGAAAAAAGATACTTCAGCAGTTAAAAAATTGAAATAAAGCATTCATCACTTCCAGTTGGATATTTGGCCTTTAATATTTTTTTTTTGTCGAAAAATAATACATTTCTTGTAAGGGCTTAAGGCTTCATTACTCCGAAATTTAACATTCAATTTAGAATCGTGTCCACACGCTGTGAGATGTTCTAGAGTCTTATGCCCACTTATCGGAAGAGTGTCAGTACCTCCTTGTCCATTCACCAATGAACATCTCAATTAATAGTATGTCTTTAATGATCTCGAAATAAGAGCACAATAAAAATTAAATAAATGGTAACAACGATATCTGGAAAATAGGCTGTTTTAAAATTTTCCATAGGTGTCTTAGGTATGTATACATAGTTGAATGTAAGTCGGTTTGTTTACACTTCGAGGTTGCGGACTTATAGCACTCAATTAACCATATTTTTCTGAATCTTTATACGCTCGTGACATGCACCACAGTTCACGTAACGGTTTGTGAAAATGGATGAAATCGGTGCAATACTTTCCCTAGTGCCACGAAGATTGTACCGGGTCAATATTTCCCTTAGCCTATTATAAAGATTTTCGATCTTTCTGGTGACTCTATACATAATATATAATATCAGCCAATACGCAAGTTAGCCCCATATAATTAATCACAGAATTTTTAAACATCCGGTTGATTTTACTCCATATATGTTGGTGACGGTAAGTGAGGTACTTTAAGGAAACTGAGGGAGTATTCTATTCTGTAGAGTATGTTGTATTGCCAAAAATAGATATCAGTAATATGTGAGAAATCTAAGCAAAATTAACCGAACCTATAGTATTGGATATACTATGGATCAACGTATAATATTAGATATATGTATGTACTATAGTTTAATGCCGAAAATATGTGAAATTAGTCTACCAATTACCTCGACTCCCAAATACTACATATATTGATTTTCGTTATTTTAATATCCAAATCTTACTTGTCGTTCAATGTGTGAGTTATATATTTATAAAATGTAAAAACTAACTCAATTAGCTAATCCCTTTATCGGTCTTCAATATAGCCTGTATAATAATTGCTGATTTTCCGCTTGACAAAATGTGTGATACTTTAATAAAATTAAATGAACAAGTTTTCTTAAAAACTGTGTGGGAATGGGATGAAATTGATCTAGACATTGGTCCAAATCTTATATCCCTCAAATAATTGCATTGTCATTGCGAATTTACCAATTAGTCATTTCGATATGAGCTTAAAAAATAGTAGTGCATCTGATTTAATCAACAATCTTAGATGGGTGGACGTCTATAGATTAAATTCAATGATACAACAGTTGTTGTCAGGGACCATGGCTTGGCAATGGCGCAAGACTATTTATTAAAAAATTAAAGAAAAACATTAAATGTCAAGTTTCGAGGCGAAAATGTATTTCTGCCACAAATCTCAATGATTCTTACAGACGTGTCAATTGAATTTGAACGCACTCAGTTTCCAATTAGATTGACATTCGCGATAGCGATGAATAACTCACAAGGCAAACGTTGTTTCTTTGTGGCTGAGACGGACACATTTGTTTATCACGTGCATGCATTAGGAGCCAATTTTGATTAGAAATTTGTTTTTGCCAACAGAAAAGATTAGTCACGTTTATGTGTACTCTTCGAATTTTGAATTTTGAAAGAAATGGATCAAAGAATATGTATTTTGCGTTAAAAATGGAATAAAGTGCTCCAAGGCACTTGAGAAAATTTTGATGACTATGAGCATCCTGGAGGTGCGACCACGTCAACAAGCGAAAAAAAAATTTAAACAGTGAAAAAATTGTTCTTGAAAATCGTCGAATCACTATTAGGGAAGTTACCGAGGATGTTGGCATATCAATCGGTTCATGCCATTAAATTTTCTTGAATGTTTTGGGCATGAAACGTGTGGCAGGGAAGTTTGTTCCAAAATTGATAAATTTTAAGCAAAAACAATGTCGCATTAGTATCACTCAGGAACTATTAAATGACGTCAACAACGATCCAGGTTTGCCTAATTCACCAGATTGTGTTCCCTGCGAATTTTTCCTATTCCTAAAACTGCAGAAACTAATGAAAGGAAAGCGTTTTGCCACAATTGATGAGATCAAGTCAGATTCGAAGAAAGAACTGATGGCATACCGAAAAGTGCATTTCAGAAGTGCTTAATCCCTTGTCGGTAAACAGTGTGCAAATGGACGAAATCGGATTATAACGTCGCCCTCTCCCCACATCACGGTTTTGTTAAAAACTACGAAAAGTGCGATAAATCAATAACTAAATACGTCAGAGACATGAGATTTTACACCCGTGTTGGTACGAGAGGGCTTTGTAGGAGCCGGTGTCAAATTTGGACGATGGGTCTGGCACCGTCCACATTTAGGGGAAAATCCAAGTCTCGGGCCATACTCAACCATATTGGGAATGTAATATAACTTTGACATTCCTACATTTCCGATATAACACAATTTTCCATTTCCCCTAATTCTTTCACTTTCCAATATATAATATTATATAAATCAAGAATCAATGGCTGGTTGATAATAATTTACCCTTGTGTCAAAAATGGATTGAATTGGATCAATATTCCCTTATACACCCGATCCAGGATGATTTTCTACCATCATTAATGAATGCTTATGATCGCTAGTAAAGTCGCAATAATCTTGTAGTATTCTGTGGTTAAAGAAGATATATATCTCATATTGACACTCGGTCCTCACAGGTCATTGTGTCAAGAATGTCCAAATGTTACAATTAAATATGATTGTATATTTTTTCATATTAGGTACCA